TGTGATGGCGTACAACTGTGAACAGGGAGGTTTCCGGTGTTTTCAAGGTGCTGTCGGGGAAGCGCACTCGGTGAACGTGAATCCACCCTGGAGTCAGATCGCCGGGCTGGAAGGCAGCTCTGTCGCTCACCAGCTGTGCTGTCGTGGGCAAAGGACATCAACCACTCGCCGATGCCGGCCTGAGAGCTGGGCACTAAATGAAGAACAAGGTCGTGTGCCACTGACGGACACACTCTGACCTCCCCTGCCTCATCTGGGAAGCCAGGAGTAGCGAGTACCTACTGTAGGGGACTGCTGAGAAGAATCGGATGAAGTGACCCACGTAAAGCCCTTAGAACAGCCTCTGCCACACTGCTAAGAGCCCAGCAAGTGATGGATGCCACCGCCACCACTGTCATGGTGGTTAATGATACTCAACTGTCGTTGCCAAAACCAATCTAAGACCAACATAGGCATCCGGACCTGGTCTGCCTTATCCAAACGACCACTTAAGGAACTCAGTGAGAAAACAGAACACTGTGAAGACTATTATAGAAAAATGGAAAAATGTCTCTCACAGAATGTTAAATACAAATATACTTTTAGGGGCGCATGGGTGGCTCAGTCGGTTAAGTATCTGACTTCGGCTCAGGTCATGATCTCACTGTTTGTGAGTTCGAGCCCCACGTCGGGTTCTGTGCTGACAGCTCAGAGCCTGGAAACTGCTTCGGATTCTGTGTCTCCCTCTCTCTCTGCCCCTACCCCGCTCACATGCTGTCTCTGTCTCTCTCATAAACAGTAAAAACAATTTTTAACATATTTTTAAAAGATTCTATTATTAATAATAAAAGCAGCAGCAAACACTGTATGTATATAGCACTTTACCGTGTACCAGGCATTATTTCAAGTCTTCATGCTCATAAATAAATAAGCTAATACTCCCTAGCTCCCATGAGGTATATAACATTGCTATCCTTGTTTTACAAACTATGAAACTGAGACACATAAACATTGAGTAATATGCCCAAGGCCATCCAGCCAGTGGTGGCAAAGACAGGACTCAAGTCCACGCCAGCCTGCACTCTGGTCTGTTCCTGTGGCACCTGCCCGCTCCGGCCTGGTGGGGGCAGTGTTGTGTGCTGTAGCTGGAGGGGTGCCATGGCAACGGAGGAGGGAGGGAGGCACACAGCTGCTCCCCTGGGGGCAGAGGGATGAGGGCTGTGCCTTAGCATGAGTGTCTGCAAGAGGCTCCCTGCCCAGGTGCTCACACCCACCCGCAATGAAGACCTATGTCCACACAAAGGCTTGGGCGCTAATGCTCAGAGCAGCACGATTCATGATCCCCAGAAAGTGGAAACCATTCTAATGTGCGTCGGAGGACGACCGGGTGAATGGGAAGTGTGATGTCCATATGATGGAATATTATTCGGCAATAAAAAGGAATGAAGGCCAGATGCACCCTATTTTCCAAGCATGGGTGAAGCTTCAGACTACAGGCTAAAGACAGTAGGCACAAAAAAATCCAGAATAGGCAAATCCATAGACATAAACTAGATTAGTGGTTGCCAAGGGCATGGGGGAAATGGGGAGTGGCTGCCAAGGGGTGCTAGGGTTTCTTTTAGGGGTGAGAGAAATATTCTGGAATTAAATAGTGGCTGGGGTGCCTGGAGGGCTCAGTCGTTTAGGCATCCGACTTCAGCTCAGGTCATGATCTCGTGGTTTGTGACTTCGAGTCCCGCGTCGGGCTCTGTGCTGACAGCTGAGAGCCTGGAGCCTGCTTCAGATTCTGTCTCCCTCTCTCTGTCTGCCTCTCCCCTGTTCACGCTCTCTCTCAAAAACAAACATTAAAAAAATTTTTTAAATAGTAGTTGATGGTTGCACACTCCTGTGAATATAAGTAAACCCCCATGAACCGTATACTTCAAAAGGGTGGCTTTTAAATACGTGGATTATATTTTTAAAAAAGAATATAAGAAGAAGTGCTTGCCCACGAAAAGCTCCAGAAGGAAGGGCTGCTGTGCCTAACTACGGCAAATGCAACCCTATTACCACTATGATGTGGCGCTACATTGCTTCTCTTTCCAGTTTTAAAAATCTTAATATGTTAATTTTGGCACATCAATAAAAAACAGCTGGGAATCCCATAGAAACATGAAACTTTCTAAGTATTATTTCATTCATGATATTACATTAGGTTTTGATAAATGATACAACAGCATTAAATCAAATGAGAAAGAAAGAAATGACATTTTATTAACAGGACTTTTTCCTTCAAAGCTAGTGCCCAATGTCTGTTTCACTCCCTGCTTCCCCTGGAACATCCCACGGGGCCTCCCATGGCCTCCTCGCAGCAAAGAGCCACCTGCCCCTCTCAGAATCCTGCCTCTCACGCGTGCTGACAGCTAAGTCACCGCACGGGGTCCCAGCTTCCTCTCCTGAAAACGGGGATGGCAGTCAGCGCCTGCCTTTGCTTGTGTTCTTGCTTGTGGACAAAGGCTTACACAAGGGCACGGAGGAAGTCCTCTCCTGGCAGCCAGGGCTCACTGTGCCGTCGCTGCAGCTGAGAGGGAACCAGGGGCTGAAACAGGTACAAGGGATGGCGCTGCTGCCTGACGAACACGAAGGCGGCCCCGGGGCCACAGAATCACAGGCACGGGACGGAAGGGACACCTCAGCTACGCTGAATTAGTACTCTAATTTTATGCTGGCATGAAACAAAGATGCCTTCTTTCCTCAGGCTTCTCGCCGGAGAACACAGCGTCTGGACTTAAAGGTACTGGCATAGCCGCCAAGCCTGCACAAGCCTAGGGGGTGAGCGTCCAGGGTGAACGTGGCTTGAACGTCTTCGTGTTAAGAAGGAGTCTGAAGCTGAGAACAAGGCAAGATCCATCTGCTCTGACCCTAAACGTGTGGGGATTTTTGAAGGACGCCCATATTCAAGCGGAGATCAAAGGAGCCCAGCCCGACAAACCACGGCAGACGGTGACAACTCTGGAATGTGTAAAAGTTCTCTGTAAAAGGGCTATTTTGAAGATTATGATTCTTCCCTCAGTGGAACTAAGGTGACTGGCAGTGGAAGGACTCACATGTAAAATTCTCTAAATACAAAAATGTAGGAACTTTAAAAATAAATCAATAAACAAAACAGGGATGGGAGGAAGTGTCCTTACCTCCTAAGATTGTTGTGAATTAAATGCAAATTTGTAGAGCACTTAGAACAGTGTCCAGACCACCGCAAAGGCTTGCTTTATTTATTTATATTTACTTTTGAGAGAGAGAGAGACAGAGCACAAGCAGGGGAGGGGCAGAGAGAGCGGGAGACACAGAATCTGAAGCAGGCTCCAGGCTCTGAGCTGTCAGCACAGAGCCCGACGCGGGGCTTGAACTCATGAACCGTGAGCTCATGACCTGAGCTGAAGTCTGCCGCTCAACCGACCCCCCAGGTGCCCCGCGAAGGCTGCATAAACGCTCCCCATTAGCAGTAGCACAGCAGGGGGTGCTCTAGACACACCCGGTGAGCGGCTGATGCTTCACAGCGGGGCCAGAGGGAGTGAATCTAGAACTCCCGACTGCAACCCCCTCGTAACACTTAGGAAACGTCAGAAGTGTGTAAGTCCACTCAAGTGCATAAGCTAGGTAATCGGATAAGGTCACTTACGCAGCACTAAATGTCACACCCCCAAGGAGGCATTGCGCATACTAACCACATACGGCACACATGGGGTGTCTGCGTGTCCATTTAACCCACAGACACCCCCAAACCCAGGCAGTTCCCGAGGAAACCAACAGGCAATGCTAACGTGGTTTTAAATCCAGGAACAAACAAAACAGACCACGTCGGCGGACAGACAGACACTGTGTGTGCTCACAGCCCGGAGTGCCTCCTCGGGGTCCTGTCCATCTCGTCGGGTTTCTCTGGAAAAACCAATCAGCAAGTAAAACTAACTGGCCTCAGGTTACGTCCCTGAAAGTGGGATGTGGCACTCGAACAGACTGAAGAACAAATTCATTTTAAAAGCAGCTCTTCGGAAACAGCCTCACATTCATCTCCCTCAATTTACCACAGAAAAACGAACGTACGACAGAATGTGTACGAGTTAACTGAATTTTCCTTATCTGTGTGCAGGCAAAGAGAACAAACAGCCTCCTTCATCTGAGAAACGGGGTTCTGGAGAAATAGCAGTCGAACCCTAGTCTTTAAAAAATTAGTGTCACAACGTCAGTTTTGACTCTGAGGCAAAGGAAGGGTGAAGTCACGCTTTTCTGCACCAGCTCAGGAGGCCACGATCACTGCAGAAGCGGGAGCAGCTGCGGCTCGCGAAGGGCTGTTTTCTGTCACAAAGCCGACGGTCTGTCTCCACAAACACGCAGCTTACAATCTTACCAGGCAACTCGAGTTAAAAACATATTGAAAGTAAACTCTAAGCCAATCGTTTTGGCTATAAACGGCTCCACCAAGTTTTCAGCTTAGCCCTTCCTGGCTCCTGAAACCCAGGCCAGGCCAGGCCTCGCGCCACAGCTGGTCCAGGTCCTCACCACCCACGACCCAGCGGCACAGCGGCACCAGGTCAGAAAGGCGGATTCTCAGGTCCCCCCAGCCCCACTGCAGCCAAATCCACATTTTTTCCCTGATGCCAGGAATTATGGAGTGTTTTGGAAGGAGAGTTGACATTCAACGTTACAGAGATTTAGGCGGACCCGAATCCACAACTTTAACACAATCCTCAGGGGCTCTGCGCACACGCTAGTTTGAGAAGCACGGGTCTAGGTGTTCTCTTTCCGGTCACACCAAGGAATACAAGGGTGCAATGAACACTGTGCTTTTCAAAAAGTACAGGCTTTTTTTTCAGCTGCTCCAACTACTAGAATGAAAAGGAGAAAATGTAGGGTGCGGGAGCCACAAACACCTCTAAGCTATCAAGACGTTTCGGGAAGGCTCAGAAACGGTCCGAAAGGGGTTCGTGAAATGCTTCACATCCAGTCGAGACTTATCAATGGTGAGAGAAAAGCCACATTTGTACCTGCAAACCGCAGAGGGGCGTCTTTATCCAGGGCGATCAGTGGAGGGTCGAGGAGCACCGCGTTGTCGTTTTCTGTGACGATGCCGTGGTAGGTGGGCTCGAGCCATGGCTTGTGCTTGTTCGCTGGGTTTAGAGAGAGAAAAAGAAGGAAACAGACCGCATCAGAATTGTAACTTTAAACTCAATAACTGCTTTTAAAGACATATGCCGATTATTAAAATAACAAAACTCTCACTAGTCTGGAAGGCAACACTTGTGTTTTTTGTTGCAAAGTTTGGTATCAAGACCCTAGGGGGCAAAGGTGTGAATCCCAGAGTAAGTAATGCAGGAACTGAGTCTATGAAGCAACCAGAAGTAAGAAATAAATTGCTCTAGAAATGAAAAGAAAAAAGACTGATAGCTACAGACAAACTATTTCTATTAGCCTGTCACAGGAGAGTTACAAAGAAAAACATACTATCATTTCTTTATAGCAATAGTGATACAAGATTATTTATTTAAAATTAGCATTGCAAACAAAAACGTAAAAGACAAGATTTATGAATATAAAATTACAAATACAGAGTATAAATAAAACTAAATGCAAAATTTCTGAAAAACTTGACGGTAAAGTGTTTACAAATAAGCCACTTTAAACATTTTTTTAAAACGTTTTGATTTTATTTTTGAGAGAGAGAGAGAGAGAGAGAGACAGAGTGCGGATGGGGGAGGGGCAGAGAGAGAGGGAGACACAGAATTCCAAGCAGGCTCCAGGCTCTGAGCTGTCAGCACAGAGCTCAACATGGGGCTCGAACTCACAGACCAGGAGATCATGACTTGAGCCGAAGTCGGACGCTTAACGGACTGAGCCACCCAGGCACCCCTACAAATAAGCCACTCTGAGGTCAGGCTGACTTGCGGTCAGAGTCCAGCTCCCCTCTATTATTCGCTGCATGACCCTGAGCACCAAACCTACCTCTTAATCTCAATTTCCTCATCTGTACACCAGGGACAGCCTCACAGTCCACAAGGCTGGGAGAAGCGGCCTCTCTGCTCCTTGACTGGGCCCTAAAACCGCTACTTTCATTCTGAAGGTGAGAACTGCCGATGAAATCAGAGTGTAATTCCCACCCGTCTGTTTGGCCGGGGGTGTGGCTCCCAGGGGGCCTGTGCGAGACCTTCTCCCTCCGTAGGGCCTGGTCCCTCTCTGGGTCCCTGTGTCCCTCAGCACATTCTGGGCGGCCCAGACCTGCTCATTTCTTTTGACTTTCACCTTACGAGTGCCCACGTTATCACCTTGGTGTGTGTATTCACCATGGAGCGCCCCAATTCGGCCCATTTAAGTACAAGGAATGGTATGAAGCTGGATTCCCAAGTAGCCGGTGCCGATGTGTTGAATGAACTGCCCCTACTCAGGTCTTTTCCTATGTGTAAGTCCACCTTCAGAAGTATCTGAAACTAAGATTCAACGTTTAACTGTGATGTGACAGTACTTTTGTGCCATCATGTGATGGCCGTGACAGGATGTCAGGAGGCTGGGACGATCAGAAAGAAGCACCTGGGCTTCCCCTGCGTTTACTCTGACTGGAGTATGGGGGGCAGGGGGTCACATGCCCCATCCTAAATCAGCGGGTGTGGAAGAGGAAAGATGCTACCTAGCAGCGCGCTAATGAATGACGCAGTTGCCAGACGTTTATAGGCGCCACATCCAAACCAACAGCAAATGCCGTTGTCTTCACTTTCAGTAATCCAGACCCATGCAGCTGCTGTTTAATGGGTACAGAGCTGCAGTTTGACTCAACTACTGATGCAGACGCCACACTGTCACATGTCACCCAGCCCCTAGAGAGCTCCACTGTGCAAGTGTCAGAGAATGAGGAGAAACGCAAGTACTGCCTTGATGTTATTAAAAAAGCTCTGACCTCTGGCGCCCCCTGGCAGGGTCTCAGGGACCTCATCCCCTCAAGGTCTCTGTTAAACCTTCCCTCCTCCAGCACTTGCCGCTCTGGCCCCCACTTCCTCCCTCCTTGTCTTCTGCTACTCATCGCCACGCTGATGGACAGAGGGTGGGGGTGCAGCCGGGGACCCTGGGTCAGGTTACTTGGCTTCCCCGCAGGCCTCAGTTTCCTCATCTGTACTAGTGGGTACAGCACTAGTACCCACCCAACAGGCTGCTGTGTGATCAAACCAGTCCTGTGTGAAATGCTCAGGACAGAGCCTGGCACTCGGTAAAATGCCATTAAGGTATTGCTGTTACTTCTCCTAAACACGTATGCGAACAAAAACACAGATTCTGGGAGAGTGAGACCCCTTGTTCGCTGTTAATTCCCAGCACCCTGCAGTGCGCCACAGCTCGGGAACTATTTGGTAAATGGATGCGTATATAAAGAAGCTCATGCATAGTACCAATAAACGCAGTACTCCGGTTTGTAAATTCTCTCCTAGAGAAGATGGTTTTGGTGCCAAGAACGGAAAACCAGGTACGACCTGGTGTTTTAGACACTGGGAGGTGCTTTTCGTGTTTTGTTTCTGGCAGGTGGATGTCCCAGGGCACGGAGACTAGAGAATCTGGAGGGACGGGACACACTGAAATGCTGCGGGATCTGTCTGGAAAGGTGAGCTGGGATTCAGTTCCGGGGAAATGTGACGTGAGATCAAAACCCAGATCGTAAAGACGAAACATTTAAAGGGCCTTCGGAAAATATCTTCTCCACTCACAAAAGCTGCTGCCGGGACAGGAGATTTGGTAAAGAAGGGAATTCAGATGGCGAGGCTGCACCTGCCCTTCTTCAGAAATCCCCTCTAGGACAGGGCCCCGAGTACCCAGGGGCCCCAGTTTGCTGCGGCCTCTGGTCTGAGAGGGTCCCACCGGACACAGGAAATAACCTCTCTCTGCAGCCAGGCTGAGTGTTCGTCCCGTCACTGAGACTCCCATCCTCCCCAGGTATCTTGCTGAGCCCTCCTGGGACACAGGTGGACGGCTGCCTGGAGTCGCAGATCACTACCGGGAAAGAGGTCGTCTTAAAGGCAGCACAGCAAAGCCTCCCCTGTTCGTCACTAATCTCATTTCAAAACACAGAAAACGTTCGTTCGACTTACTATTGACAAGGTACCGTTCACAGCAGTGTTTGATTCCAACTTGTTTTCATATTTAAGGTGGTATTAATGAAGTTACAAGCACATCAGATAAAGCTGCAGAGTATTCCAACGTGTGAGTCCATGAAAGTCTTGACGCTTAAACCAAGTGAGCGTATTCAGCCCAGTAGGAACACGGAAATGCCAGGGGGAGTAAAGTGCATAAAACCTGTGATGGTCAGAAGAACGACGTGTTTCCCTTCTGCCCTGGCGGAAAGGCCTGTGGCTGAAAATGGCTGGCGGTTTGAGGCACAAAGGACTGTGCAGCTACAGTCCCAGGATTCTCATTTTGAAATTCACAATTTATAAACTGCTCCTTTCAGCTGGCTATAGAATGAAGAGATTCAGCCGGTTCCAAGGACTGAACTTTTAAATATTTAATAAATGGTATTTTTAATATTTCATCACATTCAATTGGCCTTATCAAATATTTATAGAAACAAGTGAGTGATATTTCTGTAATCTTCCCCCCCAAAAAATCACAAATAAAGGAACATGTCACCCATGTTGACAGCCTCTATCTGATCCACTTTACCACATTCTAGATCATTAAAAAGGCCACTACATTTTCAGTGGCACAGTCTTAACTGAAGTCCCAGAACAGTAGGGCTAGCGTCAGACCTTCCGTACACAGGCTATATCTGGGGGACATGCCTCCGATTTGGGGCCACGGCTAGTTTTTGTGGCTGTGGTAGATTTGTGGTAGAAATTGCTACCGATTTAAAAATCAGTATGAAAAAAATACAACAGTCAATTCCACGGTTAACATTAAATATAAGATGTATGCCTTCCTAGGACAGCCCAGCTCTGTGTGCCAAGAAGCTGACTCCTCGTCCAGTCCACACAAGTCACCCACCCTGGGGAGGCGGTTCCCACGCCTGCATGCTGTGGCCTTGGCATCAACCCAGCACCAAACAATTCCTTTCTGATTTCCCTCTTCATCTATACAGAGAAATACACTGCTTTCCAAAGATCACTTGAAGTGTGCTCCTTCTCATTCCAGAAACCTAGGCTGGTCGCACCAGGCCAAGAAGGACACAATAAATAACAACAGCTGAATGTCTTAAGAGATTGCCAGCACTTCACCAGCAAATCCTACATGATGTTATGTTTTGTTTGCAGATTCAACTTTAGGCTTGGCCATCAAAAGAATCTAAAAAATTAAGGAATGTTGCCACTAGGTGGCGTCTGGTACCTTTGACGACAGGCTGCAAACCACCAGGCTCGGATGAAAAAACTCCAGCCCTTTCCTCCCTGAAGGAGCGGAAAGTAATCTGTTAGCGGGCCCTGTGTTAAAGATGATCTGCACAGAAAAGTGTCCTAAACTATGTAAGTATAAAATCTCCAGCTGAGTCTTTCTTTCCTCAAAGACATTTAGAATAAGTAAAATATTCATACAGTTCCAAAATCAAAATATAAAAATCCACACGTTCTCACAGACTCTCCTAAGCACTGGCCCCAGTCATAAATTCTTATTTAAAACAGACCATCGCTGGTCTTTCAAACCAGCCTAATGTCAAAGGTCCTTCCGGCTTCACAGCCCAATGACTTTTGAGTTTGTTCCAAGAAATCTTTCCCAAGTGTCTAGTACACATAAAGCACGCTGCTTACGCGTGCTTGGGTGCTGGGCTCCGGGGAATCAAGTCCCAGAGTCTCTCAGAGACACAAACAGATGAATGACCATCTACGTTCCAAAATGGTGTGGCTATAATTAAAGGCTTATACAATGTGGTAAAAACTATAAAAGGACTCGCTCAGTGTTGGGATCTTTATGACTCAGCAGGCACCAATGTGACCAGGTGGCCGCCAGCTCAAATGTGGCCGTGCCCGGTGCCAGAGGGAAAGGGTGGGCACCCTGGAGGGGCTTCTTGGGGGACCTAAACCTTCCACTAAGAAGGGAGACATGGCTTCTAACTCATTAAAACGGAACTAGTCCCCTGGCCCCACCCGTACCCTCCGGGGTGGAGAAGTGGCCAGCCTACCACGTTGTCTGGAAGAGGGGCTGGAAA